TGCTGCTTTATCCATCTTTCTCACAGATGCACTTTTTCCTATTCACGCATGTTTGCTTTACATCGGCAATCGCTTTAGGACACATGACTCATCAAAGGCAACACCTGTCGGGCTTACGAGTCACATTAACTTACCGCTACATCTCGAAGAAGAGGTCTTATTCCCTCCTTTAAGTATTCCGCACAATCCGCACCCACTACTCGCGCATACTTCCCCTTTTTCGATCAAGTTCTGAGGATTACATACTGACTTGGTTCCATGGAACAGCTTCCTAGTAATCGTATCGGGCGTAGATTTGTTTTTCTCAGCTTCGGTTTCTTTGAATTTCGAATGGTCGTCCTTTATTTTGGACGGCATTTCGATTGCGAATATAGCCATTATTTTGGCGTGAGGGATGTTAAATGAAGAGACCACTTGTTGGTACTCTGGAGAGGTTGATAGAACGCGTGACACGGTTGTTTGTGTTCCGTTTGGTGTGAAGGTTTCGATAATTCCGACGGCGTCGGTCTCGGCCGCATGCTCAGCTGCAGTCTTAGGAGGTGCAATAGGCGTGGTTATAGGCAAAGTCAAAGGTGGACTGACAACTGGAGTGACGACTGGAGTGACGACTGGAGTGATAGGCGGGTGGTGTTTCTTTTTAAAAAAGAATCTCTTTTCTTGTTTTGGACGAGGGACCGGGCTTCCATCAACTATAGGAGAATTTTTTGTATGGATGAGATAATGCGTTTTTTTCTTTTTTACTTTTTGCATAAATGTTAGTTCTTGTCAATCATACCACTGGAAGGCTTGATAAATAACCGCTTAAAGGCACGGTAAGGCTTTCGAATGATTCCGTAACTCGTGCTGGATGTGTTTAGATTATTCGTTTGAGTGGCCATTAGTAAAAATATACACGGTCTGTTTGTTGTTGGGTAAGCTTTATTCGAGTTTTCTAACGATTAGCACGATTTGTTGTTGTCTCCGATGATTTGGAGGGAGGTTTTATACATTTTCGACTTGCCACCTTTGTCATTCCCCATTTGTCAAGTGCATAAACGCAATAATGGGAACCGCAGCAGACTTTATTGGACACGACGATTCCATGCACAATACATTCTCAATCGACTCTCCTCCATGAATAAAAGAAAATGCCACTTGGTAACCTTACCAACTCCAATCACAATGTTACCATATGCGTTGTCATTTTTTATTTTGCTGGAGCGTCTAGACAGATCGGCATGCGTTTGTTATGGGAATGAGACAATAAGAAGCGGATTTATTTGTGAGTCCAAAGATATCGAGTTCGGAGAAATGTAATCGGACGAGCAAATAACTAGTGAATAGACCATTGCTATTGCAAGTTTAACGTTAATGATTATAGATGACATTTGAAAAAAGAAACGTTGCGCAGCTCTTGTTCCCACGCAGGAAATAACATAATTGCTATATTATAGCCCGCAGTTAGAGTAGTTCAGTTGTATGCCCGATTCGCCGCTATTCGCACAAACAACAAAGTCGTATTGTTACACCATTGCTTTAGACGAATAACAAGTTTCCTCAGAGTATTACTAAATGCGCTTTGCCAGAGTATCGAAATTTCTATTTGAATCACATGTAAATATCCATCCGACCAATACATTTTTTTACGAGAATAGAAATACCAAATTACTTTGTCTTGACGGTCGACCATTGTCGACGCTATTCTGTCAATCTATATGACACGATAATGGGCACGGTAGATTTGGTCAGATCCCCTTTGTATCAGAGATACGTTCTCTTTATCACAGCATTTTTATTAAATAAAACTGCCTTATATTGTTTATTATGCTTAGTAAGCGTTCGGTTACCCGGGGGTGAATGTGTATGTACGCAGGGCTTTACTTGAGACAGTCGGACACAATTTCAAACAGAAAAACGATATGTTGCTGTTCATGCAAGAGGAATCGATGCTCTGAAATCTGAATTCACAGTAATAGCGACATCACAAAGCTCTTTAGAAAAGCGATATTCTCGTTCTTGATAAGTAAAGCGAGAAAGGTATACTTTGGTTTTCTATTATTGTTTGGTCATACGGATCAAAAGATTTTTGTAACAGTTGTGGGCGTGCATACTTTCGTGGAATTCCAAATAACAGATATACAGAATGTTGATTGGTGTTGTGACAAACCCAGCTCATTGTTGCAGCGTGACCTATGTTTATGCAAAGTCATTGTTCACACAACTAAGGGATTAAATCGGTGTGCTATTAATATTAATTTTTGCTTGGCAGAGATAATCAACGAGCTTGAAACATAGAAAAGGGGCGAACATACAAAAGAAAAGGGAAGGCATTGGCATGTTCGATAGTGTGTTTACATACCATCATCTGACACAAATGGTGCATTTTAAAGAAAAAAGGGTAAAGACAAAAAAAAAATACCAATTACTAACCGTGACAACAATAACCGAACTACAAATAATAAAGTTAAAGTTGTGGTGTTACGACTTTAACTTCTTACAAAGAATCTTTTTCTTATCGAAGTTAGTACAATTTGATAGGTGTGCAAGGATTTTTTTACGGTAGTCTCAAGTCAAAAAAGATAATCCTGCGGACCCATAACAGCTAATGAAAAGCTTGTTCTGACAAAGTGGTCCAATTCCCAATAAAAAGATTCAGCGGTTCGCTGCCAGTGTAGCCGCAGCAGTGTAGGCCAAAATGATCTTGTTTGCCCGTTGCAGAACTTTGTGCGTGGGAAGCAAAAACCATATGCACGATATAAATAGTCGCAGTATCGAATAGTAGACACTAGTGGCGTTGAACTATTAAACATAAGAACAGACTTACCATAGATGTTGAAATTGTTGGGAACAATTTAATTTTCACATCGTGCCAAAATATACGCCGGGAGTCGACGATATCTCCGGTTTCAGCGGTTCTCTTTGTCGTGCAGCTTACTAAATAAAAAAAGCAGTGATGTTGAAGGCTAACGTTATAAATTCATACACCATGCAACGCTTCGCTTAGGAGCAGTCGAGTGTCGTTCAATAGTTTAGTAGCGTAGCAAACATAACATACTGCGATCAGTATGCATTCTATGTGGCAAAGCAAGAGATATACGACGTTGCCGTTTGAACACGTCTAGCACACATACAATTTACAATGCCCGCAAAGCCTGTGATTACAATTTAAGTTTAAGTCGTGTACAATGCTTGTCCTTCAAAAGAAAAAGCATCAATGTCTGACTCAATTAGGGTTTTGGAACAATGACATTTGGAATGCCAAACAAATCCATGCACAGATGGTAATTTACTCGGGCACCAATCTAATGATACTGCAAATTCTAATTGCTAGAATAGCAACCGTTTGGGCATCGAAAACGTGCGCATACTTGATGTAGACGAGTAAATATCGAGGGACGAGTAGCAAAACATGTTCAATGTCTGGGCGTGTGATTGACAAAGTAAAAAGGACCAATTGCAAAATCTGTCGAGAGTTTTCAAATTTCGGACAGCTTGCTTTTTGTAATTTTTGGATTGCAACATGCAAATCAATATGCTCATCAGATACAAATTCGTCAACAAATAAAGTATTATCGTTCTTCTGATATTACTTTGATTATTGTTTCTCCAGCAAGTTAACCTGATAAATTGCTTGTGAGAATAATAAGAATAAATCATCTAAACTGTATTACCAGTAATAAATTTTTTTGCTTTCTTTACAAGAGCGTGATATTGTGTATTAGTATGTTGATTTTGTAAACAAACTCTTATTGTCTTGCAGAGACGGCCAAATTATAACTATTTTACTTCCTGGCTTTTGCCTGATCAAATCTTATGAAAAAACATTTGTATTTGGTGAACAGGTTATCAAATAAAGTATACATATAACCATTCTTTTGTGTAGTCCTCGGACTAAAAATAGTAATGCATGAATTGGACATACGCGAGTAAAGCATGTGTGTAGTAAACAGAGACTCTTATTGTGCAAGTCCTCTGGGAAGCAGTATCATGTCGATATGTAGAGTTTTCCGTTGGTCGATTATGTAACTCGCCTACTCTATCATCGTCACTGACTACTGATTATCATTTTAGTTTTAGAAAGATGCTATTTTTTTGATAGAGTAGGCAAATAGTGTTTTATCAACATAACGTACAACAAGCGTGCAAAACGCGTCTAATCAACGATATCAGAATTACCTCTGGCGTAGTGAATAGCAATCGTGTACCATAGAATAACTTGCAGTGTTCAACATTTTCTATCACTGACAGTGATTGGTATAATTAACTTGTATTTTATATACTACAAAATATCACTTAAAGATAGGAAACTCTCATGTTCTGAACACTCACTTATAGTCAACGTTGTCATCTTGGTTGAGTAGCCATACTTGTGTACGCTACCAAGTAGCAATAAGTAATACGTTTTGCCATATCAATATTATTCTAAACATTCTTTGCACAGTTAATTCAAACGCTTTTTCTTTTTTCGCACACAGTAAGAGAGGAATTTTAACCAGCGAAACTTGTCATGAAAAAAACCCTCGTACCATCGTGCCTAATACTACTAATATCTTGTTCCTCTTTATCTACACATCTTCTATCATTTTCCTCAATAATCTTCACAGGTCAGAATTATGAGCGCTCGCCGATGACCGTAGACTTGAAACGATTGATTTGTCTGTCAAACAGTTGCTTTTGCCGTTAAAACAACCGTGTTTCGAATAGCTGTATATATTATTAAGAGGTTCATTACTCAATCCAATTCTTAGCATTAATTATAATGTCGCTTGCAATTCGTGGAAGTAACATTAGTTATCCAGATTCGGGCAATGTGAAACCACGAAACCTTCTGTGGCGGTTTGGTATGTTCAAATTTGTCTGGTTTTACCCCATATGAATAATGGAGAAAAGCACGATCATTGTGGCGTTAGTCAAAATTAGACCCCTGCGGTGTTATATTTTCTTTGCCCCAAATTAAGTACATCCCCGCGAAAACTCAATTCTGTAATAACTTTGCTTTTTCACTTGGACGGCCTGCTAGCGGCTAAACTAGACAAGAAAACGCGCAGAAAGAGCCGTCTGAAAGAAAACAATCGCATTTAAATACATAAACAGACAGGAGAGCAAGAACAGTGCAGTTATATAACATAATCTCACACTCCAAGCACTTCCATGGCGGATGTGGTTGAGAGGGTTTTAGTAGCACTCAAAGGAAATAGTAAGCATTATTAAATTCACTGCTTATGGGCCAAAGATATCAACGACTTGCTAATTTTTCACTAAAAACCCAACTTTGCACAACAATCTAACATTCTTTATTACAAAGATCTTGATAAGAAGGTCGAAGCAATAACACAATTGGAGGATGCTTTACTGGATGGCATAGCGCTTGAGGTTTTTCATATTTCACTTAATCTCATTATTTCTAATGCCGCACCCAGATTTTAATTTGCATGACGATTTACTCGACCGATAATCTCATCTTTTCCAATTCTCTCATTACAATGAACCCGGCATTCGATACGATACACGAAACCTCTTTCTACCATCACATCTGTCCCGATTCGTATCAAGCCTAACGAAATAAGTCATTTAACAAGTTCTATTCGAGATGCATTGAAAGCAGCGCAGGCAGCACTCTCGTTCGCTGCACTTGCAATAATATCCCCCCTTGTTACTAACGTAGCTGAAAAATATCCAAAATATCTTCACATGGTTATAACGACGTTTGCTCCCAGTGTTATTGATAAACTGGGCGATGCCAAGGACAAAACGAGAGATGCCGCTACCAAAGTTCTGCTGGATATGTGGTGCGCAGCCGCAACGTCTACATCCAACGCTGGAGCTAATCATGTGATAAATACGTTGGCGTTGACAATTAAAGATACGGCTTTTGCACACAAGTCGTGGAGAGTTCGTGAGCAGGTGAGTTGGAAGTAGAACGGCATGTAGAGAGAAGGGGGGAAATGGGGGGAAATGAGGGGAAATGGGGGGGCGGGTGACGACGATGTTGATACGACCGAGTTTATCATTAATATAATTATTAACAGATTTGTGATATTAGAGCATAGCACATCTATAAGACATGTTATCAGAAATGTATTCTCTTTATTTTCCTTTGCTGCTTTATCCATCTTTCTCACAGATGCACTTTTTCCTATTCACGCATGTTTGCTTTACATCGGCAATCGCTTTACCATAGGTGTTTCAATGGCTTCGCGCTTGTTCTAGCACAATATCAGACTTTTCTTTGCGCCAATGGGCACCATTAATGGTCAAGTCGTTGGAAGATCAACATGAACAAGTGAGAGAGGCGAGCAAGGAAACGATAATAGTGCTTTTCGGGTGAGTTTTTATCTCGCATTACAGAAGTAAAAAACTTTATGTAGTGGAACGTATTACATTGGTTACACGATAGCGCAAGTACTAATTGATCATTTGACGTGTGAATAGAACATCATCACCACACGCAAAATCCGATCTCAAACGAGAATTAAAGAAACAAAATATTCGTTCAACGATAGCGGACAATATCAAGGCTAAAATATTATCAATACCACACGTGGATGTGCCGGATGACCGTAGCACGGTGTCGTATGACAGTACAACGGACACGCACACTGACGGCGGAACCGAAATAACAGAAGATGATATTCTGAGCGTAGGAACGCAGGAAGAAAATGGGCGGGTTGATCAGACACCGTCATTATCAGCTGTTATTGCTGATGACGTCGCGCCAATATATGTAGGTATTATCCGATATTTTTACGAGTAGAAACAAACGATGATTGAGTACTAAAACATCAGCTTAACATGGAATTAATTTAACGTAGGTGGCATCTGCACGTGATTTAGAGCGAGAATTTCAAACTATTATTGCTCACTTCCAAGGCAAGGAAACAGAAGATAACTGGCAATTGCGGGAGAAAGACTTTCACAAAATACGCTCACTTCTTCGCGGGGAAGCAGTATCACACTATAAAGACACGTTTGTGGTGTGCATTACGAAACTACTTGACGCGATAACAGATTCGGTACTTGTACAATTTATTTACGAGTTGCTAACAAGTATTTAAATTAACACTCGCTAATATAATGCCTTTTTCTTTGCCTTTGGTTGCATTCTCCCATTTACGTTAGCTTGTCAGTCTACGAACAGCCTTGGCAATAACGTGCAGCATATGCCTCTCTGACCTTATTAGGATACTCAATCGTAGCTTGGATCCATTAGCCGAGAAACTTTTGCCAAATCTCATTAAGATGTCTTCGACTACAAAGAAGTTGGTCTCACAAGCTGGTACAAGTGCAACGACTTTACTTCTATCACACTGCTCGTACCATTACCGACTAGTAAACATGTTGTCATCTGCGATGCAAGACAAGAATTTACAATTGAGAATTTCTGCGGTTGGGTGGTTAAAGGCAGTCGTCATCTCGCATGCAGATAGAAGAGATTACATCGAGAGGTCAGGAGGAGCAGAACTGTTAGAAAAGTGTGTCAAAAAGGGTTTGACTGATGCAAGCCCGAAAGTCAGGGAAGGAAGTCGAGAATTATTTTGGTTATTTTATCAGACATGGACAGATCGGGGTGAAGGGTAAGACTCATAATATGATAGAATGACTTCGATTTATTATTATAGACGGTAAGTCTTATTATAAGAGAATTACATAATGAATTCACATCTAAACACAACAAAATATGCTGTACAGAATCCTTAAAACGATCGAACCGGCGGTTAAGAAACAGCTCGAGCGGGATCGCCCATCAAATGTAGTAGTTTCCTCATCAAATGCAGCAGCTTCCCCATCAAAGCCATCCTCAACACTGTCGGCCCCACGTAGCAGACCACGCTCAACAAGCATTGGCGCAATGAAAAAACCACCAAGTAATCCGTCTAGTAATCGAGGAGAAATAAGTCCAGGCAATACTCTAAGCGCCAATGACGCCTCTCGAAACGCTAAAAAGGATACGAATAGACTCTCAGTACGTCCAGCATCAAGTGCAGCTATACGAGCAAAATCACCTGCTCCACCACCGCGCAGCAAGTCTCGTGCTGGAGATGCTCCTTCGTCATCAAGGGCTTCCATTCCACCAAGACCTGCGACATCGCAAGCAATGGCACCATTATCGGTACCGAAACGCCCACAAACATCTGCTTCTACATCGGCGCCTAGGCCACCGCCAGCAAGAAAATTGACGGTTGTCGAACAACTTAATAATAGTGACTCATCAATTCGAGTACATGGTATCATTCAAGTTGCTGATCTCATTCAAAAACGTTCCCAAGAACCACCAGCCAAAGGTGTTTATGCAGAATTCAAACGATCTCCGCTTCCACCAGATGAAGAATTGGGACGCATATTAACTAATCTTCTCAATGATCCGGTTTCCGCGGTTCTAGAGAATCTTCTTCATCCAGATGTTATTGCCGAGATTAAAAAAGTATTATCACTTGATATTTTTATCCCGCAAATGCTTCTCAACGCTAGTGAAGATTCTGAACAGGGTGCTGTCATTTCTGCCTGCTTACCAGATGTGAAAGCAGCCATTGGGTCTGATAATGCCATCTCAGTTTTGGGTAGATGTTTGTTTACATTGAGTGCCTCTGGAGGTGCTCCGAGAAGATCGGCTGGTTCCCCTGGATATCAACCCGCTCAAAAGCGGAAAATTATCCATGGTATCCTTCTCTGGTTAAATGAAATACTTATTCCCAAATTAGTAGAAGCCGAGGCCACAGACGACGTTACGGGTAGTCTTGGTGAGTCTGCGAATTACAAATCACTCACAAATCGTTTAATTCCCATGATCACCACTTTCAAAGAGGGAACTGAAAACCATAAAGCTCTCTCGGAACTTTTAATAAACATGCACAAGTTAAGACCAGACCTGTTTGAAGAAGTATTGTTCACTTTTGATAAAAAAGTTATCGAGGCAATTGGCAGTGTCGTAGGGTGGGAAGATGAGTTGGCTGAGGCAGAAGAAGCGGAATTAGAACAGCAAACAATAAGATTACAAGAGGGTCAGATTTTATTGCAACAGCAGGAGATTCAGAGACAAAGATACGAACAACAACTATTGATGCAACAGCAGGAACAACTGCAAGCACAGTTGCTTGCTAAACATGAAAAATTACAAGCTGAACTACAGGCAAAACAAGATGAATTAGAGAAACGAGAACGTGAATTTGAGATGCAGCAAAAAGAACGTGAAGCAGCAATGACAAGAGACAAAGAGCGAGAAATTGCCGAGAGACTTGAGAAAGAGCTGTCGGAAAAATTGCAAAGGGAATTACAGGAAAAGCATAACCAAGAATTAAAGGAGAGGGAAGAAAGAGAATTGCAAAAAGAAAAAGAGTTGGAAGAGCAGCGAGAAAGAGAACGCCAGATGGAGTTGCAACGAGAGCGTGAATTGCAAGAAGAGGCTGAACGTCAACGAGAGTATCGCGAAAGACAGCTCCAAATGCAAAGAGAATACGAGCTGGAAGAGCAGCAGGAAATTGAGCGACAACAGCAACTTCAACGGGAGCGCGAACGTGAACGTGAAATACAGGAACAGCAAGAGCGCGAAAGGGAACTACAATTACAACGTGAGCGTGAAATTCAGGAACAAGAAGAGCGAGAACGGGAGCATCGTGAACGACAGCTACAGATTCAACGAGAGCGTGAACTTCATGAAAGACGCGAGCGTGACATCCAAGACTCTCGCGATCGCGCAACTCCTGAAAGGCGTGATCGTGAATTCGGCCAACCTCAGACTCCGTCACCTCGCTCGTCTATACAACTTCAATCACAACAGAAGCCTTCTCGTCAAAATACGCCCCCCCAGATGGCTACTGTTAAAGACAATGTTCATGACTGGATAGAAAACCAGCGTTCAACCGTGAGGGAATTCCGAGAAAACGATTGGAATGAAAACCAAATGCGCGACGATGACTATGTACCTCCCAAGGACAATGATTGGAACGATAGGGATAATGCGAGAAGAACTTCAAGAGACATTGATTGGGATAATTCGGGAGGACGAAGGTCATTGAGGGATCCTGAATGGTTTGGCAAGCGTGGTGGGGGAAGAGATAGAGATGTAGATAGGCAACGAGGGCATAATCAAAGGGATGAGAGGAGTAATTATCCGGATAATAATTGGCCTGAAAAGGAAAGACGCGCGCAACGCGATCCACGGGATGCGGATTGGGAGGAACGGAACCAACGCGGTCGAAGAGGCCCGCGGGACCCACGAGATCTTGATTGGGACGGCAGAGACAGACGTCCTCTTCGAGAACCCCGAGATCCTGACTGGGATAATCGTGCTCGTGAGCGCCGGCGGGAGAGATCTAATCCACGTGATTATCGTGATTCTGAATGGGATGACCGTCGATATCCTTCTCCGCGCGGATCGCGAGATTATGAATGGGAAGAACGAGGTCGTCCCATTCGTCGGACTGTTAATGATCATTGGGAAGCACATAATGAGCGCCCATCACCTCGCGAATATGATTACGATGACCGTGGTCGTCCAATACCAAGAGATCCGCGTGACATTGACTGGGACGAAAGGGCTCCTCGTGAATCATCGAGAGCTAGTGAAGGTGATTGGGACGAGAGAGGTAATAGAGGATTTTCTCGGAATAATCGCGAATTTGACAGAGACGACCGGTCATCACGTTACAGTGCAAAAGATATGAGAGATGAAAGAAGTCGTCGGGTTTCGCCACCCGGGAGTGATTATAATGCACCTGAAAAGGCCCTCTTAAAGGATAGTGAACGTGAAGGCGATGATGGGCGTGGTCTCTCGAATGGATCCAATAAGGCTCAAGACGATAATAAACCGTCAGCGGAAGGACAAGGACATTTAACATCTCAACCTATGGCACGAGTAGTGTCGCTTCCTCCTTCTCCTGAAGAATTAGGAATCACTGACGTGGCCCAAGAGTTGAGTAGTTTGCGTGAAATTGTAGAGAATTTGGACCTTGAATCGGATTCGTTTGACGAGGTTATTGTGGTTTCGAGATGATTGTTGAAAATTGAATTGGGTCGCTCTGTATCAATTTCACTATTAACATGTATATTCTTTTAGGAAATCGGCCTCGAGAAGGATGATGACTCTACTATTACTCGTCCAATTCGGATTACTGAAGATACATGGAAACAATTAGCATCATTAAATAATAGCGGAGAGAATGGCAATTTCGTTTATGATAATGCTGAGGATCGATTAAATGAAAACGATGGCAAAGCTGCAATTGAAGAGGGAGACGTTTCCGAGTCTCAACGAAAGACAATAACACCCAATGATCAGTTAACGGACGCATCACTGTTATCTTCAGCAATTGAGGCTATTAATACGCTGGCTGAGTCAGTTGGAATACCCAATACAGAAAGTCAACCAGTTATGGGCGGGGCCGAAACCGAAACGACTGGTATGTTATAGTCGATTATTCAATCATGTTACCATCTACTTTCTTTTAACTCTGCGCCTATTCGTTCCTCGACATCAGGCAGCCCAGTTCCTAAAGTTGCGAATGCTCGACAAAGAGCGCTGAGAAGGGATCGTAAGTGTTGACTATATGTAAAGTTGACTGGGTCTTATCTGGGATTTTTATCTAATATTGCATCTAATGTATTAGGATTAGCCGGATCGCCTGGGACAATGTCTACTCATGAGAAAGGATTGCTTCTTGCAACACTATTAGCTCGTTTGAATACTAATGATGTTGATAAACTGTTATTGCGTAAATTGGAACGATTATCTAAGGAAACACCATTATCCGATGGTCCTGAGGCAGAGGAAGTGTGGGAAGACGGCGGTCGATTCGGTGAATTAATAAACGCTTTATTGACGTTTTTTGAAGATTATGATGAGGTAAACGCGAACTTTTTCACAAAGGTTTCGTGATATGATTGTCCTAATTATCTTTTTTCTATGAATAGCGCTCTCCGGATTTGAAGGAAACGGGATTACAGTTGTTACAACAGTTGTTGATTAACCAGACCCGTTATGTTGCTGGGCTTGAGAGAGACGTGCTTAGAGTATGCCTTGATTGTAGAGCAGATTTGGCTACCAATGTGAGTTGACTAGGGAGCAATTCAAAAATTTTTCACTGCAAGAACTTTTTGTTAATGAGCATTGCAATTGAAACTTTTAATAGGTCTCTGGACAGGCTGACGAAGTTTTGGAAACATATGTTCAAATAGTCGATGTTCATACTGGTTTATACGCCTTAATAGATATTATGGAATCTCGTATGTTTAACAGTGGTTACAGCAATCCATCGTCACCTGTTCAGGGTCATTATGGACAAAGGTCAAATCCGAAAGCAGCCGCATTTATGGTGTTGGCACGATTAGTTAGACGATTCGAGAAGCGGTCGTTGGAGAGAGAAGTTGGGAAAATCGTTCCATTAGCTATAAGAGTGAGTATCGGTTGGTGTCTGGCTAGTGCATTTCGGGCTCTGTAACTTCTTGCTAAGAGATTTTCTTTGTACATGATAGGCTTTCAATGATACCAAACCTGAAATTCGAAAGGCTGTAGTTGATTCTTTGGTATCGGTTTATTCAATCATAGGGGATGATAATACAATGCTCCAATATCTAACCAGTCTTAATCCTGCACAACAGAGACTATTGCATTATTACTTTGACAAGAGTAAGAGACAGCAAAAATCTACTGCACAAGGGGTTGTTGTATAACACATTCCCTATTTCTTATTATTTCCAGTTTTTTGTGGCCGTAGCATTGATCGTTATAAATATTAACAATATAACAAAATATACATACTCCCAAGCTTGTATATATATAGACATTGTGGCAGGTAGAGGAATCTGATGACAACGTACTATGAGAAATTTCATTTTTGTATTTATTTCCGATGTATTATGAATATTCATAGATTGTTATTATTTATTCAAAGTTAAAGGAAAGCAATATATGTAGTTTACTAACTAAAAAAATAGGTCTCCGTACATTAACCGTAGTATGCGAATACATTGATTGTAGTCATAAGAGTTGTATAATCTTGTCCTATAATGTCTGCTCGTTGAGAAAATAACATTTGCGCTACACTCCGGGTCCAGACTTTTTACATACGAAATTATTCTTTTTGTTGGTTGTCTTTAATAAAATTTAGTCTTGATTATGATTGTATATTTCGAAATTATAAAAAAACGAATACGTTTTTGCGGGACGTGTTTGGTACATGGTGACTGGACATAATCATGCAAAACTTCTTGCTCAAAATAATGATACAATACTCCAACCTCGATGCATCTGCTTCATCCCAATCAACGACACCCCCAGTTGTTTCTCCCCCCAGACGTTCCTCCTCTTGAATAGGGTGGAGTTTGATGCTTGCCGTTTGAATTTTTTTGTAGCTCGTCGTATGCGTTTATATTTCGTATTAAATTTATGTAAACATATCATTTGTTGAATTATGATGCAATTATTACACGTATTCTAATGATATTAGCATCTTACGGTGAATACAGGCATTGGATTATAAGCGCGCGGGACTCTGTAAACTTTCGTATTCTCTTGCTTGACACGAAATTCCACTGCGCGAGAAAACTTTTAACTTCAGCATAAATAGCTTTCGTGTACATGTCAAGAATGATCTTGATTTGATCTTTAGAACACCGTCTTTGCATTAAGGATCAGTCGATATCCTATTTTGCTGACGAGCATTACAGGCCCAAAGAAAACGTTACTTGAGAAAGTGCGTCATTTCGCCAATCATGTCACCGACAAAATTTCCCCAACTTTATTTCGAAGTTATCCTTTTTGGTAGTTTTTGTCGATGAACCGGCCTCGTTCTTCCGAGCAGTTACAGATATGCCAACTCTGAGGCACGATTACTAAGCAAAACAAAATGTTATGCCGGTGTTATATTTTAGTATGAAGAAAATGGATTGAGGCTGAACTGGCCGTTATCTTTTCTTTAAATTAAGAAGATGAACTTTCTGTAGATATAACTATAATATCATGGTTTTCATACTTCTAACATCAACGTCTTTAATAACTACATAATGCGTTCTTTATTATTATGGATTTGTTCATTATACGAAACTCGAATCTTCGACAAGCTAAATCTGTACCGCGTTACACACCGCCAAAAATACTTTTTAAGGGGGATGGCTAAAGCGGGGGCAAATCACGTGATTGTGTACGGAATCGGCCGGAAAATACCAAAACGATTATTGG